AACTCCCAAACAGACTCTCCTTCGCAGTGGAAACCATCTTTGGATGGGTCTTACTGGGAAAAATATATTCTTAACTAACCAAAGATTGAACAACTTTTATGCCTTTAATAACACACTAAATTCGACTTTGAACATGACCCCCGTAATAACATACGGAATTACGAATAACCCTTACACAACCAACATGGTGGAACAATTTATAACTGAAGAACGAGCAAAAGAATACCAAGACCGACTAGACATACTACACAAAATTATTAAAGTTAAAATTGAAAAAGAGAAAGAACTAAGAACAGAAAGACTAAACAGCGTGAAAAATATATTACAATACCCAATAAAATATTTGCAAAGACGACATACCATAAGAAAGACAAACCAAAATATATGGAATTAAACTATGACCCACAAAGTAAGACTGCGACTAACCCCAAATTCAAAAAACAACAACCTTTTAAAATACAATCCAATAGAATAAAAAGACGTAGAAAAAATAATGCCGGTTTTAAATCTGTTTCAGGTCAAGATGATCCTAATATTCCTTCTACTTCCCGTGACGGTCTGCTATAAAGTGACAAAACTCGACAAAACGACTGGCACAGTAGTGTCAAAAATTCAATATTCTTATATACTGAACAAATCATACACTTATATGCGCCATATAAACACAACCTTATTACAAGACGAATAAGACAACATTCGCATCTTACTGAATAAAACCCCCAAAATATAGAAATCCATCAAGTATACACACTCAAATCATACCTTGAAAACACTCACAACAAACTAGACCGTATTCACCTGAACACCAGAAATAACAATTTTAGAATCAAAAGAGGCTTAAATAATGGTTTAGGGACTGCAATCTGTTTGCTGACTGGAAATATGGACCATAACGGCAAAGAAAAATATGATGAAATATTAATGACAATTCAAACAAATGAATACACTTTAGAACACAACGTAGAAAAACAACTGTTTACAATTAAACAAACGTTTAATTAAAGTAGTCAATAAAAGGATAGGAATTGTTCAAGAAAATAATGTAAAATTACATAACTATCTTAAATATTTCGAAAACACAAGAAATGCAATAGAACTTACCCAGAAATATACAATCCTATTTACATCACTATCATTATTATATAACAAAATAAACGACATAGCTGATAGCTTGGAATTTTGTAAAACAAATGTAGTGTGAGTGTGTGTGTATCGAGCGTGTAGCGATATTTTGCTGGTGCTTCTGGGCTGAAATGCCCCTGGCAAAAAAAAGGTAATCCATTCCAAAATAATAACACATGAAATTAGCGAATTAATATGAATTACTTATGTATCATTAGTAAAAAAGGATCCAGAGATTTTATGGTAAATCATTAATCAATGTTTATCTGATAATAACAAACAATTAATAATTAAGAATCATAATAATACGAATATTGTACATCTACAAGAAACAGCACTTGTATCACTAAACAAAACAACTTTGTTAAACCATATACATATTTTGAATCAATTATTATGAAAAACTATATTATCGCAGTTGTATAAAAACATCTAAATGTAAGAGAAATGATGAATGATGGAGTGAGTGCGGTGTTCAATCCTTTTTAAAAAGATAGTTCCTACACACAGTAAGTAACTTACTGTGAGTAGGAACTATCTTTTTAAAAAGGATTCTAAATGGAAGTTTTGAAACAATCCATAAATCCGATATTAATATAGACCCATTGGAAGAATTAATTAGCTGAACTACCATTTAACCATTACTGAATTATATATGTAATGTTTAAAGATTAGTGACCGTTAATCGATAGTAATTCAGATATCGTGAGATGCGGTCGGGTGTGATGTAGGTTTCAGAAAAACATTTTCTTTATCGTGCNTATTCTTTCATGCTCTCTCTTTCTCTCTCTCTCTCTCTCTCTCTCTCTCTCTCTCTCTCTCACACTTTTATTCTGTACTACCCACACCTTTTTTCCTCGTACACACACTTTCTTCTTTCCTTCGTACACTCACTCTCTTATTTTCTTCGTACACAAACACACACACACACACACTCTCTCTCTCTCTCTCTCTCTCTCTCTCAATCTCTCTTACTATCACTCACTTTTTCCTTTTGGACACTCATTCACGTCTTTTTTTCGTAAACTCACTTACTTCTTTTCTTAGTACACTCACACAAACTCTCTACTTCCTTCCCCTCCCTCTCACTCTCTCATCCCCTTCAATTGTTAAAATTCAAAACATTTAAAATTAAAACTCAATTACTTAAGACGTTGATTATATCGCACTTTAATTACAATTTAGCTGTGATGTTTGATATTACTCACCAATTATCGAATAAGCTACAAATAGTAGTAATTAAATGTGTATGTTATGTTCTTGACCTTGCGTTACATTCAAGAATGGAAGATAAATATCTTAAGTTGAGAACATTACGAATAAATGACTTCCAAGAATATTTAAATTTAACTATTTTCAACAAGGCTTTAAAAATGACTCAACCCATATATCCGTACGAAAAAATAAAAAAAATTTATCGAACCAGTTAGATTTAGTACTGGAAATACTGTAATTCCAAAACGCAGAACAAAACAATACAAAAACTCTTTTCTTACAAACAAAATTCTGATAGTTTAATTATTTACCTAAATAAATCAGGCAACTGGAAAAAATTAATACATTCAAAGTAAACCTTAAAAATAATTACTTCAAATGTTAAGATATGTGAATTTCATGTACTTATTTTACATAAAATTCTTTTTTTCATCACTTCTTTTACAACATTGTTTTCATTGTTTTTCACTCAAATGTTGTTTAATATTATTGTTTGTTTTTTAAATTTTGGATTTATTTTTTTATTATGTTTTAGTACACGTTCCGATTGTACATAATAATGTTAGTTACTACAGTCTAGTTTACCTTGCATAGGCTAATGGATAATTTTTATGGTTATATAGAAAACATTATTAATGTATTTTATAAATATTTTATATAATTAATCGATTGTTTGATTGATTTGATTATAATTGAACTAGGTAGCACGGGAAGGATCTACCAAAAGCTGCATGATTATCAGTTGTTTTTGTTTTTGCTCTTTGGTTCCATGTCGAACAGTTGTATCTATAATTTTTCTTTTCTTTAATATTCCTTCAATTCGCAGTTTTGTGCACTTATCGGACAAACAATTTTGTTTTCACAGGCTCCTTTGCGAAAAGGAGCAACATCGGTAACACCTACTTATCGATATGTAATCATCCACTTTGCATAATTCCAAGGGAGTTTTATTTTACACTCGAGCCTCATTTTAAGTAGATTGCGATCAATTTCAATAATCTTCGAAAATGAACAATCGTTACTTATGTATCATTAGTAAAAAAGGATCCAGAGATTTTATGGTAAATCATTAATCAATGTTTATCTGATAATAACAAACAATTAATAATTAAGAATCANTCTCTCTCTCTCTCTCTCTCTCTCTCTCTCTCTCTCTCTCTCTCTCCCTCTCCCTCCCTGTAATTTTCACGCACTTCTTTCCTTCATACTCTCACCCATTTCTTTTTGTCTTCTTTTTTCCACCATCTTTACTTATTTATTTTATACGGTATACAAACAAGTTAGTATATACATCGAGATGAAAATATATATATAAATTAAAAATTAAATTATAAAACTACAATTTTTTTATATCAATAAAATAAAAGTTGTTGCTATAGGTACTCTAGAAGAATTCCTATTTTAGTGCTACCTGCCACAATTTGATTAAAGAATGAACGAAAAACGATCCATGGGAAACATCCAAACATTCCTTGGGGAATCAATAGAGCTTAGTTAAATTAAATATGAAGTTGTGTCTAATTGTATTATTCGATATGACACTTTGGTTGCTTGAAGAGCCATTGTTTAATTTGTTTTGAATATTTCTTAAAATTAAAGCACTTGTTACAAGCGCCTTCTGGAAGTGTATGCGCCTATTTAGGGCCTTCGTACAAGAAACGGTTTGGCACTAGAGAAGTTTTAGGTTGAGGTAATCATACTCCATTGGGTTCCTCAACTTAAAATTTAAACTTTTACATTTATCTATTTTATTTCCCTTCTGTTAAAACAAGTGTCTTATAACTCTATATACATAAGGTAATGTAATATTAAATATTGTATTTTTTTAAATTGGAAGCGAGTGTCCACTTGTGACAAAGCTTTTAACATTTTTGACTGTCTGAATAGCTGACTGGTGAAACCTGTACATTGGCTTATGCACCTCCCCAGCAGACCAGTCTGTACTGGATATGTGATTGTACTAGGGCATAATATAATACCTTTAAGTGACTTTCACATTTGTTCCGCAATACATAAATTATCCTTAGCCCAAACTGTGAATTTTTCCGGACCTTATCAATATGAGTATATCTATCTATCTTTCGGAGATAATTAGTCCCAAGTATTTTATATCACTTATTTGTTCGATGTTAAAGCAATTGGAGNCAAAGTGTTTGTCTTCTGTGTAATTGTGCCATTCTTGCGTGTCGTGACACTCTCGAGATTCTGGCTATCCTTTGAAGGCATGGCTATTGTCATCTTTGCACCTCGATCCAAATAGCCGAGATGAGGTACTCGGCTGAAGTCTATTAGAGAATTTACCGAACAGGCTTTTGCATTTACGTTTTCGATTGCTCGTTAAATAAAATTTCGATCGGAAATGTCTCAATTACAGGTTCGACACCTCGAAGGCCTTTCCACAATATATCGTCACTGATAATTGATCAAAGCAACGACAAAATTGCTCACATATGAGATTCATAGTACGAGGAATCTTCATATCAACGGGAATCTCTTTCGCCGGCTGAGTAAACGGCCGTGAGATAGGTGGAAATGCGCTATTACCGGCGAGGTGTGAGAATCTCGAAGACTTGAAGAAGGAGAGAGTGAGAAAAAAGACAGGGAAGAATGAGAAGTGGCGTAGAAAAGAAAAAGAGAAGATCCGTGGAGGGGTTTCGGCTTGAAATCTCCTGAATCCCCTCCGCTTTAACGCCCCCACCACCACGGTCCGGTTGGTCTCGTACCCGGCTTCAGGGTTCAGTCTTCAGTTCAACGTTGGCTTCCTTGTCGTCACTTCCAATGACGGTTATCTGTTTATTTTGATTTTTTCGTTCTTGTTCTGTTTGATTTCGTATTATTTCACGTACAACACGTCTCTGGCGCTCTTAAGTGATGATGTAAGTACAGATTTTTCGGCTATACATTTTTTTTAAATTAGAAAACACCCAACAAGTAGAAAACTTATTTTAATGCAAGTCACAGAATATGCACCTATTACTTCACTATGTTTAGCTTTTAAATATAACTTATTAAATATTACCTTAATTTTTATAGGGTTCAAATTATTATATCAGTTTAACGTTTTCCGGTTGTCATTCACACTGATATGTGCACAGTGAAATTGATGACATATGTTGGTTAAAAATGACAAAAAAAAAGGAATCACTCAGTTCAATGTATAACCTGATCGGTCAAATAGGAAAAGGGATACGAAAACTTTTAAAATTGCTCCTTGCTCACAGTATCTATTATTTACGACCAAAGCCCTAGCACTGTCAGCAGGAGCTAAAAACATATGCCCTGCAAGGTCCGGAAGAGTTAAACCGTCCGAGATTGCGGGTGAATTTGTAACGATACACGAGCGACAGGTACAGACGTAGGACGTGGGTCTTTTAATAAAATTCTATTAAAAGAAATTATATAAATGAGACTAGACTGCGTGTTCTTCTCCTTTCGACCTTTGTCTGTCGCTTAACTACAGCCGTGCCGCTTCTAGTTATGCAATTATATTTTCTTGAACTAATCATTTAATATTATAATCTTTGTTAATGTTATCGCTTGCGTTTGGTATAAATATGAGTTTAAAAGTATTTTCTTAATGTCGATATATTATCGAATTGTCAAAACTATCTTTGACTTGCCAGCCCGCTTTCTCCCACAAAATGATCATTTTGAAACATGACTTTCCTTCTTTGTCAGTTCTTCGGTCGTTTTTGTGATAGTTTTAAAGGGCCAAAACTTTGCGATTCCTTTACACACTATCTATCCTTTACGGACCCAGGCAGATCCACTCAAGATAATAACGATGATAGTCTAGTTCGGTGATTTCTCATCATCGTATACATTTCACAAGGATCAAGAAGTGTTGACCAACCGTTGAAGATGTTGAAATTCTAAAAACGCCGAAGTAATCGGAAACGACCGAACTACAGGTCCACTTCACATACCTTACGAAGGAATCGCGCAGTACTATACTGGACTTTGGATTATTTTCAAGTTTTCAAACTTACGCTCACGTGTGATGTATGTACGTTCCCACAATAAAAGGTTAAGGGGTTAATGCTACCTGCTGTGCGATATCACGCGAGTGCGAAATCGTCAAAAAGGAGCTGTCATTGACTTTGCATGGATCTTCTGCGAGCTGTTTATGCTGTAAGCGATATAGCGCGAGTAGAAACTGAAAAAAAACTGTCATTGCCTTTCCTCGGATCAGCGGGTGACCAGTCGCATGTTTAGAAGCTGAAATCCCAAAGAAAGTAGCGGTCATTGACTTTCCATGGATCAGCGAGCGACCTTTCGCTTGAGTAGAAGCTGAAATAGCAAAGAAAGTAGCTGTTAATGACTTTCCGAGGCCGTGCGATTATCTTGCTTAATTGCAACTCATTTTTTGTTTAGTGCAATTTGGTTGAACTTTTTTGATCTTTAAATAAAGTGGAAGTTTTGAACAGTGTTTATTGATGTTTGTGACGTCCCGGATGCCGGTAGTAAATTTTTGCTAGACTGCCTCGGTTTTGTTAAAAATAAAATAAGTTTATTACATATTGCGCTGTAGGTTTACTACCAAGAATTTGCATAATTGTGACCGATAATCTTTTGTATGTTCAGGCTAGACTTTTTTTGAGTGAAAATTTTTCTTACCACTGTCCTAGATTGATACTCCACCAAGTATGTGTGTTTAACTTGATTCATTCCACAATTCCTCCTGGACCTATGAGTATTGTTGACTACCCATATTTTCGTCCGCACGGCGTATAAACGCCGTGTTTATCAGTTATCTCATTTACAGCTGAATGGTTGCAGTGAAAGGGTTATCAATTTAATTTAATAACAGTCCTATCCTTCAAGAAACGGTGGCGAACGCGGATTTCTTCAGCAGGCACATTTGTATGTGTTGTTTGTAACGTGTACCCGGTCTGCTATTTGGCTGTAGAAGGTTTTATACAAATGTTTATGATCGTCTTTTATTCCCTTATCTCAAACTCTCAAACAAGGCTAGGTCATCAATCAATTCTCTGATGTTGCACTTATGGTTGCCAATTGTCATTAATAGGACGGAATTGTTTGTATTTTTAGTCGTGCACAGTAAGTGTAGTAAATGTCATTAAATTGCAGAATTGTGATGTTTTCCACTTAGCCCGTTTAGGTGACGAGATCAAGCCGATAGTTTTCATGTAGTCGGTTTGAAGTTTATTTATAGGCTGTCAAATTTCAGTTGCCGGAAACGGAAAGTATATTCTAAAATACTCGACTACAGCCTTTCTTAATTCGTATCAAAAGGAAACTGTTTAGATGGAATTCTATTGTGTTTACCGTATTTCACAAGTGGCCAGTTTCAAAACTGAAAACAATATGTATCCGGATTTAAAGTAGGGAAGATGTGAACATCCGGTGAATTTGGAAATGCTATTAGTATGCCTGAATTTCGTTTTAAGTGACTACACCCCAGGTAAACTACGTTATAATTCAAAAAGATGGCTAATAATTAGACCATATATATTTCACCCTTAATAGTGAGAAATAATTGTAAGTTTCTGACTATACATAACTTAGTATCGTCTTAGAAAGCGAAACGAGACTGATTTTTGACTAGTAACATCGTTTTCACTAGCCTAATCTACGAATATCTATCTTTCATAACAAATTTATATTTAACAAATTCCGTCAAGAATGCGAGATGCCATTCAAAAGTTTCTTTTGTTCGAGGGATGAGAATGATGGGAGGAATTCCCAAAAGGACCAATGTGTTTAAGGACGGTTGCAGGTTGGCGTAGAGGCCCCCCCCTATTGAACCTACCGTGTGGACAAAAAAGGTTTCGAAGAGACTGTGAGGCACCTCGACGGATAAAAGAGATTTCTTTTTAGGGGTTGGAGGTGGGTACACCTGCTTGCCGACAACAAAAGGCCACAATCCACAACAAAAGGCCCAGAGGGAGAGGTGCTTGGAGGAGGTCCATCGCACGAAGATGAAACAGAACAATATTAAGGCGGCTTCAGAATGCGGTATTCACCGAATGCCGCGCAAATTGTCGATGAATCCCGACTATTGTGGATGGACGCTCGGCTATTCGCCGAATAACAACATCCGATGCTCGCCGTGCTCGGCTTTTTATCGGTTATCCTGTCCGCTTCAAAGGGCACGAATATTCGTGAAGTAACCGCGCTCAATTCATCCACACATTCGGGAATCGACTATAACTGTACGTACCTTTAACCTACTGTCAACTGTTATCAAAATCAACAGTAAGCGTACACTTCTATTTAATACTATTTATTTTTCATTAATAAACGATTCCTAACTAGTATAGATGTTGGAATTTACACAATAACAATTGTTTTTCTTATTAGGAATGGATTGACCCAATGCAACAGTTTTGGAGGTCCTCCAAGTTTACGAAACAGAACCAATAATTTGGAAAGCTTCTCTTACAAATCATAAATTGTTTTATAAATAAAGCAAAAATATATAAAAAATATAATTAAATATATTTTTTAATTAGTTTGTAGCCACTGCACAAAATAGTAACCGCAGCTGCAGCAATGACAGTTTCACTGTTGTCCATCATGATTTGTAGTAAGTTGAGGACTTCCACGGCATTTGGAAAATACGTATTCCGTTTCCGCAACAACTAGGAGGTTATACAAAACCTGCATTTGTGTATACGTAGGCACGCTATTTCGCGAATGCCAAGACGAGCATCTAGAGATTTGGCAAATATTCGGCGGCAATGGGCATTCGGCGAAACCGCATGTCCTTCATTCTTCCCTGTGACCCCTCCCAACCCTTGGTCACAAGGGGGTGTCCGGGCTCAAAATAATGCTGTAGCCCTGAGGACGTGGCAACCTCTCTAAAGCACAAGCTGTACTCGTGTCGGCATGGGGCGGCGAGTGCCTTATCAGAGGCACACGAGGGTTAGGGTACCAGATCCTGTCTGCATAGACGAGGGAGGATGCATAACTGTACTATGGGGTAACAGAAATGTTCCAAGGTTCAGCCCCTGTTACACTGGGGGGAATGGACTCGTAGTGGTTCGTGGTGACGACCCTGGCGGGAACTTAGAGAAGAGGCTGTCTTCTGTCTGCGACCTAAGCACGAAACTTGCTCATGACCATCGTTATACACCCGGCCTCACGGGATACGGCGGATTGGTCGGCAGCGTATAAGCGTTGAGGACGCTATGATTATGCTGAAAAGTCCCTCGAATGCGTGAGTAGTGGCGGATGGGAACGGGTAGTGAATCGGTTGCTCCGTTTCGAGTATGCTTTGCACGCAGGTGTAGGCTGAGCGCGATTGGCGGCTTTTACCGTAGGCATTCTCCTCTAGGGGGTGGTTAGCAATTCCTCGTTAAACAAAACCGCGGCCATAGCGGATCCGGTAGTTTCTACGCTGGGGAAGCCCCAATACTCTGGGAGATAGAGTGGCCTTCTCTATCTAGGGAGTGCGTGGGAGACAAGACTGATATTTCGGCTTAGGTACCCCTTTGCGCGCGGCATACGGTTCAATGCGTAATGCGGACCCGACCACTCGGAATGGGCAAGCGGGGAGCGAGGTTGTCTTGGCCCCTCGGGCTGAGCTGCCTCTACACCAATGCTGCGGCAGTAACAAGGAGGTGCGTCGGCACTCATCTTGAGAATCAAAACGTTAGGTGCGGACGTTAAAGATCTTCATTGTCCTTTTAAGGACGATCGCATTTTAGATAAATCAATCAACTATATGATAATATAAGTGATATGATAATAATAATATGATAATTCCGCAAGCGTCCGACGTTCGAATCATTTATATGTGTAAAAGGTTTTTTTTTAATCAGGGCTGCAGCATAGTGATAAATGGTCAAAGTTAAACAGATTGTTTGACCCTCTTTATTGACCTAATTCAATAATTGCACACAACGCATCA